CAGAAGCAAAGGCAGAAGTGGTAGGAGAAAGCATGCTGCTTTGTGGGAACCACGTGTATTCCAGAACCGCCGGGGTGTGGGATATGGTGAGAGGCGAAAGTGAGAAAAGCAGTAGAAGGGGGGACAGAGTATGGGAGGCCCTTGTGTGCCATTAATTAAGGAGTTTAGACTCTATCCTGAGGATGTTGGGCAGCAGCCATTAAACAGCTCTTGCCCAAAGCAACATGATCAGATTTGAAGTTTACAAAGATCACAGTGGTAGTATGGAGGATGTTTGATGGGACAGGCCTGAAGGCAGAGAAATGAATTACAAGGTTACTTCATTGGCCCGGATTAGAGATACTGAGAGCCTGAACTAAAGCAACAGAGATGGGAAGGATTGATCAGTAGTTAAAATCAGTGGGTCTTAGTAACTGGATGAGAGTGATAAGGGTGAGGCAGGAATCTAGGGTGACTTCCAGGTGGCTCGATGAATGGTGGTGTCATTCACCAAGAGAGGGAACAGAAGAGGATAATAAGGTTTCAGACCCATTGAATTTGAGCTGCCTTTGGGATACTGAGATGAAAATGTCCAGTAAGCCATTAGGTAGCCAGAGATTAAGCTTTGAAGAGAGGCTGGGAATTGGCAGCTACAGCATAGGAAAGGAAGAGATTGAGAGAACTTAAAGGAAAGAAGAGGGCCAAAGGGAGGACTGCTTTGTGGTAGACTAGCCTTTTTCATAGAGAATAGTTTGTCTTTGTCAGATTTCATGTGAAGGCTAGTTACATTGACAGATTTAACTGTACTGCGTGGAAACACCATTTGTGTGAATCGTAGTGCCTCTGTTTTTAGATTAAAGTGGGAGTCTGTTCTGCAGTGTTTTATGATGTTAGGGCCTCACTGCACAAATGAATACTGTCCAGATTCCGTAGCAGCCTAAGGAAAGACTTGTGGGAAGGCTGTCAGCAGCACACAGGAAAACAAAATGTCTCCTGCAGATGTAGTGGATTTGGTCCCCATTTGTCTCCCTTGCACTGGCAGTTTTTCAGAGGAAAACAAAATTTCCTACTAAGGAAGATGATAGCAACTCTGACTGGGACTCCTGCTATACAAAAAATGCCTAGTTGCCATGGCACGTAGTGCCTGACTAGAGCTAGTGAGTGGTGGTGGTTCAGGGCGGCTGTATATGGTTGACAATTTGTGCCATGCATGTTTTACACAATTAATTGTACGTTGGCAGTCTTGGTCATGGTGGAGTGGTAAAAAATAGGAAAGTTCTGCTTTCATTTAGCCACGTTTTATTTGTCTCTGTAACTTTCAAAAGAGTTGATTGGCAAGATTGATTTCAGACTTGCACCTTAAAGTTAATTTGTCAAAATGCCATCTTAAAACAAAAGAGAAGTTAATATTTGTTTTTAAAAAGGCTTTGTCTCTGAGATTCTGTGTAATTTGGCAATGTGATCACGCAAATATACAATTAATGAACAGTTTTCATCGACTGTAGGTATAGGTCACTGTTTTCACTTCAAGCTTCGTGAGTGCTCTGAGAGAACTTCCAAAATGTCACCAGTCATTTCTCTTTCATTGCCAATAATTGGTCTATTGTGTTTCTTTAAATTCTTAGCTGTTCAGTCATCAGCTGTATATATTGCATATTAAGAGACTGCCATGATAGACTTAAAAATAAAAAAAGTTAGATCTTTTCTCTTGGTTCTTGCCTAAACGTCATGCATCAGAATTACCGGAGGGGCTTTTTGAAGGAGGGGCGGGGTGGAAACCCACCTAGATTCCCACGCCTGTATAACCTATTCTGAGTCAGTAAAATCGGAGGACGGGGTTCCAGTGATTCGAACTCACAGTGTAGCTTGAAAAACTGTTTAATGCTGTTTCCCTTAATGGTGTTTATGTTTTACAAGAAGACACTTCACCTCACCTCCATTTCCATTGTCTCTGCCTTTAGGTCATAGTAAAGCTGTTAGAGACATCTGCTTTAATACTGCAGGAACGCAGTTCCTCAGTGCAGCTTATGACAGGTATCTTAAGCTCTGGGACACTGAGACAGGTAAGAGCTCACTTATACTAATACATAGTTATCTTACAAATTTGCATTTGTAAATGAAACGTGAGTGGTCTTCTGTGGCAAAATGGTACCTTCTCTAAACTGCTAATTCTCGTATACTTGACTATTAGTCTATATCACAAAATGTTTGTAGAGTTGAAGCTCAGTTATATGAGTAGCTCTTTCACTGTGAAACACTGTTTCCACCAAATGCAATTGATAAAGCAAACGTATTGATAGACAAAGAGATTTGAAATCTTCCATAGACTATTTAATCTATCTTTTTGTTCCTCTACGTCACCTAGCACACTGCACTGCACATAATAGAAGCACAAGAGATATCTGATGAACAGAATTAAATTTAATTGCCCAAACTGATTAAAATGTAGGTCTAAACTTCCGTGGTCCAGTTGGTTTTATATATTTACAGACATAAATTACATCAGTACATTTTGGCTAGTATAATTTTATGTAATTAGAAACCATCTTTCATCTTGCTGACTTTTAAGAGTAAAGATTATAGCTAATATTTATTGAACAGTGACTGTTTACCAGGCATTATGCTAAGTGCTTATATGCAGTATCTTATTCAATCCTTAAAATATCCCTATGAGATAGTACTATTATTGTTATAGATGAGTAAACTGCGGCTTAAAGTGGTAAGTTTTTTAGGGTCACACAGCTAGTAAATCGCCAGATGGTTCATACCAAGGTCTCTAATGCCAAAACCTTACTCGTAAATTCTTTAGCAGTCGGTCCTCAGCTCTGGCTGCACATCGTAATCACCTGGAGAGCTGTCTCTATTCTGCAGTTGATTTTACAGATTTACTTTTGAAAAATTATTTTTAATCATAAAATATCCATGAAAAGGAACAATGTGGTTTACAATAAAGAACAAGCAGCCTGCCTTTCCTCAGAATGTATTAAGCTGATTATCTCTAGGTCTTAATCCCTGGGTTGTCTTTAAGTGGTCAGATTTATTTTGCCTATTTTAACTTGGATCTTTGGTTTTAGGACAGTGTATATCAAGATTTACAAACCGAAAAGTACCCTACTGTGTCAAATTTAATCCTGATGAAGATAAGCAAAATCTCTTTGTGGCTGGGATGTCTGATAAAAAGATTGTGCAAGTAAGTAAGTCTTTTCACAATATTTTTATTAAGATTCCTGAACTTGATGCTATACCAGGGGATGGAATAAGGAATATTAGCTTGTTTAATGTTTGCTACTTTTAGGGACTGCTGATGTGTTCTATTCTTAGTAGAAAACAGTAAATTTGTAAAAACATGATGTTGGAAATCTTTTCCTTTCTTTACTTTCCATAGTTATGATCTTTGTTTTCATAAGTCTGCTCCACTTCTGTCTTTACCTCTTCTCTTGTTTGATATACAGTGGGACATTCGAAGTGGAGAAATTGTGCAGGAATATGATCGGCATTTGGGAGCTGTCAACACCATTGTTTTTGTTGATGAGAACAGGAGATTTGTGAGCACATCTGATGACAAGAGTCTAAGAGTTTGGGAATGGTGAGTTTCTTATCAGTAGAAAATCTGATTTTATAAAGCAAGCAATTTAAAAGTTTGTGGGCAATGACAAAGCCTGATAACATGCAGCCATTTGAATATTTTCACAACTGTGATCTCTGGCTTGCTCATCAAACTGTTTTAACGATTTAAGTATCCAGAATCTGGAAATAAAAATTTAAACATGCTAGTTTTCATAGTCTTTGGATAATCTATCTAAAGGATATGTATTTTGAGTCATTTTTCTGGCAGTTTGTATAGTGCAGTCTTACATTCTTTATTAGGTATCTTATTCATCTTTGCAAAATGACCGATGTAGGGGCCACAGCTGTATAGACTATATTGGTTACATTAGAGTTTGAATATAATATCCTGGCCTCAGAACCAATCCAAAGAAAATATTGAAAAATCTTTTTTTTTTTTTTTAAGCCGAGCCATCCTGCCACCTGTTGCAGCTCAGCGGCTGCTCAGCTTGGGCTGGGAATCAAACCGCTATTGCTCAGAGCTCAAACTCTTGAGTGAGCTCTTAACCAACTGAGCCACTCGGCTGGCCCTCTTAATTTTTTAAATGTCTACATTTTGTCTATTCGATACTGAAAATTGCCCCATTTCATCACCCTTGTCACTTATAGTGCATATGGTAAAAAACAAATGTTTTGCTTGTAGAATATAATCAGAATGTATTGGTTAATTTTGCTTTCCTGAAGAAAAAAGAAACTACTTTTCTAAAGTCAGGAAATACTAAAAGCTAATTTCACTAAGTGTCATAGATGTTGTTTTGTAATTTATTTTCAAAGAAATGCATAATAATCTTGTTAAGATAAATGTTTGAATGGAATTCAGCTTGTCTTGATAGTCAGTTATGAAGCACAGCTCAACTGTGGTTACAGCCTTGCAAGGAGTAGAAAGCATGTCTTCCCACCCCCAGAAGTCGTTCTGCTTTAAGAAGTAGGAAGCCTTGAACTACAGCCAGTAGTTTCCTCCTGAAACTGAGTTCCTCTGGGGAGCTAAGCATGTCCCTAAGCATTGTAAGGGCAATTTGGGTAATTGAAAATTTAATTTAACTGCATTTTCTCCCACTCAGCACCAGAACACCCCTCCAAATTCCCCCCAATAAAGGAAGAGTTGACTATATATTATATGTAGTCTTAACATCATCCATGATTTGAGACTACCTTATAACTAAGATCTGAGTCACCTTAGACCAATTTGCACAATACTCTGGAGAATAACATCCATGAACTTGTTTTGTTAATATACTTTAACAGTTTGATTATACTTGAACTTTTAAATGTTTCTATCTTTAGATGATATTTTAGCTCCATTTTAAAATGTGGAGTGGTTGGTATAAAAGAAATTGGTAAATATTTAAATGATGCACCAATTACAGGGCTTTAAGAACACGTGTGTATATTCTTAATTAGAGCATTGGCCAGCAAAGTATTTTGATTAAATTAAGGGGTGATGTTAGCAGGGTTTTTTCTTTTCAGAGCTTAAGAAATACTAAGAGTCAACACTTTCATTATAAATGATGACATTCTTTAAATTTCAGTTGAATCCTCACATGGTGTTAGAATCTTCCTAATCAATCCTCACATGAGGATAAGTGCCTCTTCTTTCTCATCCCACAGAACCCTTTGCTTCCCGTAGCTTTTTAGCGCTTGCTTATTTGTTCCTTTTCCCTGACATGGTCTTAACCATGAGAAAAAGACCTGTGTCTGCTCTTCATCTGTTCCCAGCACCAGCACAGTGCCTGGCACATAATGTGCACTGAATATCTAAGGAAATCATTATTGTCATAATTATTAATGATGTTACATTTATTGAGCCCTTTCTATGTGCCAGGCACACTAAGTATTTTGGGCCAGATCAAAATGATTCCAAACTGAGTTGTTGTGTTTTTTTTTTTCAGGATTATTGAGGTATGATTGACAAACAAAAATTATAACATATTTAAAGTGTATAACATGATTTGATGTACATATACATTGTAAAAGGATTCCCACTAAGTTCACTAACACATCCATCACCTCACCTATTTACTTTTTTTTTTCTTTTTTTTTTTTGGTGAGAGCACTTAGGTTCTATTCTCTTAGAAAATTTCATACAGTACAGTATCAACCAACCATGGTCACCGTGTTATACATTAGATCCTCAGGCCTTATTCATCTTACAACTAAATGTTTGTACCCTTTTACTAACCTCGACTTTTCCCCTACCCTCCCAGCCCCTAGCAGCCACCATTCTACTCTCTGCTTCTATGAGTTCGACTTTTTTTTTTTAAGTGACAGCATGCATTATTTATCTTTCTCTAGCTTATTTCACTTAGCATAATGCCCTCCAGATTCATAAATGTTGTCACAAATGGGAAGATTTCCTTTTTTAAAGACTGGATAATATTCCATTGTACATATAAATACACTTTATCCATTCATCCATCCACAGATAACTTACTTTGTTTCCATACCTTGGCTATTGTGAATAATGCTGCATTGAACATGGGAGTACAAATATAAATATCTCTTTGATATAGTGATATTGTTTCTTGTGGATATACCCAGAAGTGGGATTGCTGGGTCATAAGGTAGTTCTATTTTTAATTTCTTGAGGAGCTTCCATACTGTTTTTCATAGTGACTGTACCAGTTTACATTCCCACCAACTGTGTATAAGGGTTCCCTTTTCTCCGCATCCCCCCCAAAATTTGTTATCCCTTGTCTTTTAGACTAGCCATCCTTAGTAAATGTAAGGTGATGTCTCATTGTGGTTTTGATTTGCATTTCCCTGATGATTAGTGATGTTGAGCACTTTTTCATGTACCTATTGGACATTTATATGTCTTCTTTAGGAAAATGTCTATTCAGGTCCTTTGCCCATTTTTTAATTGGGTTATTTGGTTTTTTGTTATTAGTTGTATGGGTTCCAATAAGGGATTTGCAAATATTTTCTCCCATTTCCTAGGTTGCCTTTTCATTCTGTTGACAGTTTCCTTTGCTGTACAGAAGCTTTTTACTTTGAGGTAGTCCCACTTGTTTATTTTTGCTTTTGTTGTCTGCTTTAAGGTGTCAATTCCAAAAAATCATTGCCAAGACCAGTGTCAAGGAGCTTATCCCTTATGTTGTCTTCCAGGGGTTTTGCAGTTCCAGGTCTTATGTTCAAGTCTTTAATCCATTTCAAATTGATTTCTGTGTATGGTGTAAGATAGGGGATCATTTTCATTCTTTTGCATATAGATTTCAAGTTTTCCAAACACCATTATTAAAAAGACTGTCCTTTCCCCATTGTATATTCTTGGCTCATTTGTTAAAAATTAATTAACAGTATATACATGGGTTTATTTCTGGGCTTTCTATTCTGTTCCATTTGACCTGTGTGTCTGTTTTTATGCCAATATCATACTGATTTTGATTACTATAGCTTTGTAAATATAGTTTGAAATCAGGAAGTGTGATGCCTCCAGCTTTGTTCTTTTTTCTCAGGATCGCTTTAGAGCCTTTTTAGGTTCCATACGAATTTGATTGTCCTAGTTCTGTAAAAACTGTTACTGAAATTTTGATAGATATTGCATTGAATCTGTAAATTGCTTTGGGTAGTATGGACATTTTAATAATATTAATTCTTTCAGTTCATGAACACAGAATATCTTCATTTATTTATGTCTTCAGTTTCTTTCATCAGTGTTTTATAGTTTTCAGTGTACAGATTTTTTTATCTCCTTGGTTTAATTTATTCTTAGGTATGTTATTGTTTTTTATGCTTTTGTAAATGGGATTGTTTTTATAATTTTTCTTTCCAGTGGTTCATTGTTAGTGTATAGAAATGCAAATGATTTTTGTATATTGATTTTGCATCCTGCAACTTTACTGAATTTATTTATGAATTCTAACAGTTTTTTGGCAGAGCCTTTAGGATTTTCTGTGTATAACATGTCATCTGCAAACAGAGAAAGTTTTACCTCTTCTTTTTTTATTTAGATGCCTTTTATTTATTTTTCTTGCCTACTGGTCTGGCTAAGACTTCCAATACTATGTTGAATAAAAGTGGTAAAAGTGGACATTGTCTGTTTCCTGATCTTACAGGAAAAGCTTTCAGCTTTTCACTATTTGAGCGTGATGTTAGCTGTGGGCTTGTCACATATGGGTATGTTCCCTCTATACCTAGTTTGTTGAGACTTTTTGTCATGAAAGGATGTTGAATTTTTTATTTTTTCTCTATTTATTCAGATGGGCATATGATTTTTATCCTTCATTTTGTTATTGTGATGTATCACATATATTGATTTGCATATATTCAAAAGTATCCTTGCATCCCAGGGGAAAATCCCACTTGATCATAGTGTATAATCCTATTAATGTACTGTTGATTTGGTTTGCTAGTATTTTGTTGAGTATTTTGCATTTGTGTTCATCAGGGATGTTGGCCTATAATGCTGGCCTCTTAAAAATGAGTTTGGAAATATTCCCTTCTCTTTTGTTTTTTGGAAGAGTTTGAGAAGGACTGATACTAATTCTTTTACAAATGTTTGGTATAGTTCACTGGTGAAGCCATCTTAGTCCTGTACTTTTTTTGTTGTTGTTGAAAGGTTTTTTATTACTTTGACAGTCTCCTTCGTCATTACTGATCTGTTCAAATAATCTATTTCTCATGATTCAGTCTTGGTAGGCTGTATGTTTCTAGGTATTTATCTTTTATAGGTTATCTAATTTGTTGGCATATAATTGCTCCTAGTACTCTTGTGATCCTTAGTGTTTCTGTATTATCAGTTGTAATGTCTCTTTCATTTCTGATTTTATTTATCTTTTTAGTCTCTATTTCATTTATTTGCTCTCTGATCTTTATTTCCTTCCTTCTGCTAACTTTAGGCTTAGTTTGTCTTCTTTTTCTAGCTCTTTGAAGTGTAAAGTTAGGTTGTTTATTTGAGATCTTTCCTTCTTAATGTAGGTGTTTATCACTGTAAACTTCCCTCTTTGAATTGCTTTTGCTGCATCCCGTAGTTTTAGTATGTTGTGTTTCTGTTTTCATTTGCCTCAAAATTTTTTCGAGACAAATTTTTTTTATTTCTTCTTTGACCCATTTCTTGTTCAGTAGCATGTTGTTTAATCTCCACATATTTGTGAATTTTCCTGTTTTATTCTCATAATTGATTTCTGGTGTCATATCACTATGGTCAGAAATGATGCTTGATATGATTTCAGACTTCTTAAATATAGTCTTATTTTGTGACCTAATATATGACCTGAAAGCAGTAAATGTGAGGATCAGTCTTGCTATGAAGACAAGTAGGAAGCAAAACTACCTGAGGATCCCTGGAGCTGTCTTCACCACATACAACCGTCCCTGAGTCCCTGAGATGAATTACTAGTGATACTGGCAGCTTGCTTGGGAGAGGAGGGGAGGCTCTGACCACCTCAAAGTGAGAATTGACTCCCAACAGTAGGAAAATTATCGCTAAGACCTTCAGATAAGTGGTATTTGTTAAACTTTTACACCCTCTACCTGCTTAGAGTAGCATGATGATACAAGAAAACAAACCAAAGGAAACTTGGTTTCTTAATACTATACAAACTAAGATTACTATATAATTTTAAAGGAAAATAAAATATTATAATTAGATATTGATCAACCTACAGTATTCTAATTGGCTAAATTCATGAGATGTCATAGACATTTTTTCTCCCAATGGTATTTATTTTGTTAAAATATTTCTAAAAGAAAATTTTACAGAGGTTGATACTACTATTTATCTTTTAGCTTTATTTTTCACAGATTTTTTTATTAGGGTCTTTTCAGTGATTGCATTTCCAGACTGAAGATTATTTGTAAGATATGTTACTAGCTTATTATACTGAATTACAGTTTCTAATTAGAAAATAGTGTTGTTTATTAAATAAAACTATGCCTAGCAGACATGTTTCTAGCAATAATGAAGTTCACAAAGTATTCAGATTCATGTTTTGTTCTAGAGCTCATTGTACCAAGAGTTCTTGAAATAAGGGATCTGTTTAAATTTTTTTTGTTTTCTTTTATTGATATGAAACTGGATTATGGGTAATTTACTTTAGAAAATGCACTTATAATAATGTACTTATAAATGCACTTATAAAAATGCACTTAGCCACTAATAATAAGTATGAGAAGGGAAAAACAGTTGAACCTTTTTCAGATTGAGGCTCTTTTCAATACATTTGGGTCATTCCAAATGTCAGTTTTCACTGGTACCTTAGATGTGTAAAGGGTTGGAGATTTGATAAATGATACTGTTCCCCAGGTTATACCTGAAAATGTTTTCCCCTAACCAAGACCCTGGTAGAATTTTTTTCTAATCATTTGCTGCTGCTTCTGGATGGATGAATGGATGGATGGATGGATGGATGGATGGAGAAAATCCTTACTTAAAGTCAAATTATTATTGTTGGTATTACATTTTCCATTTAATCAAAGTCTTGGAACTTGACCCATAGTTTGAAATTGCTGCTTTATATTTTGAGATAACATCAGATTACATTTCCCACACATACATACTTTGTAAAAAAACATTTTTTGGTCTATCATGAAAAGCAACAAGACAAATCCTTCAGAATTTCTAAAGAATTTTTTATCATGGAGAACATTAAAAATGAAAAGGCTCTTTGAACTTTTGATGATTCTAGATTTAGGCGACTAGGTTTTAGATCTTTGTTTTATCCTATGGATCACTTGAATGAGAATATTTTTTAGTGCTTTTTCTCCTATACCATACACATTTAGAATATTTTACATGTAACTTTTGAAAATAGAAGCTGTCCAGATACCAAGCACTTAATCTCCCTTACCTATCCTGAAATCTCATCATTTCTGGAGGGGCTGCTTGCAGATCCCTATACAGCTATGCTTACCCTCCACTAACATTGCTGAAGGCTTTTAGCACTCTCACCTGCTTGCAGGGAAAGTTAAGGCTGACTGGCAGGTAGAATAAGAATGTTTCCCTGTAGGCTTTCCTCAGACATCTTACTTCTGCCTACCATAACACATTTTTAGATGAGCTCATTATTAAAGGACGTTTAGTAACAGATTTTTTTAAACATAAAGACCAAAGTTTAAATCAAAGAGTTAAAAAAGTAAATCATTGACGCTGTTATAATTATCACAGAAAGTCATTTATGAACTAAAAGATTTATAATAAGCCATAGAATGTCATTTTGTGATTTTCCTTCCCCCAGGAAGCTTCATGAAAGGTTTATTAACTCTCATTTCAAGAGTATCTTTTTTGTTTCAGAGAAAATTCTTCTAAAGGTACTTTTTAAAGTTACTTATTCTGATATGTTATTTTTAATTTTTAGGGATATCCCTGTGGATTTCAAGTATATAGCAGAACCCAGTATGCACTCAATGCCTGCAGTGACTTTATCTCCAAATGGTGAGTTAGTAGATAGAACGTGTTTTTAAATAAGTTTCTAAGACATGGTGTGATTTCTGTTCAAAAGAACCTTGGACATTACCTCCTAGGAGACGTCTGTCACACTGCCATACTTGTATAAGGAAATCTTTTCACTGTTAGAAATAATCATTGGTTTTCATGGGTGAATCCTCACCTGGTCTCTTATTTTTTTAAAAAAAATAAATAATAATTTGCAACTAATGTTAACTGAGCATCTAAGGATTTCTATCTGAGCAGGTTTTTAAAATAATTCTCCTTCCAACAGAATCCTATTCAACAACTCACTCAGTGGTTTATTGTGAACTCTTTTTCTTTCAGGGGATATAAAATTTTGGTCTGTTTCCCCATAATGAGAACACCTTAGCAATTTACTGTAAAAGATTTTCTCAGGCAAAAATACAAAAGATAAATCTATTTAATACTGTTTTCTGTTCAGTGACGCGTTGCCTTTAAAGTAAAGTACAAGGTAATTTGTACTGCAGGTGTACTGACAGTACACTGATATAATTATAGCTATACATGAGGGCATTAAAGTGGAGGATCTCATGTTTGGGCAGCATTGTCGTCAAGGCCAGTGTTAACACACACAGCTACTGGGAGTGCAGGGCAAGGAAGGAAGGGGAGAAGTAGTTTGCTCTTCCTTCAGGCCATCTGCCACAGGCAAATCGGTGATCTTATTGTCAGATGCTCTGTGATTTTTATGAGAAGAGCTGGGTTCTGTTTTGATTATCACCATGTTGCATACTTTGTCACATTTGTTACTGCATCTACATTTCGTGTACTGTATTTTTAAACCATTCATTACGAATATTGTGCCCATCTTGAGCAAGGCCATTTACCTGCTCTGACTTGTTAGTATCATTCCCTTAGTTAATAATGTCTACAGGTTTATAGGATGCAAGAAGCAGTTTAGTTTACGCTCTAGGGGCTTTGGTGAATCCTGGGTAGATAAAAGCAATGTGGCCTTTCAACAACAGTTACTGAAATTTTTTAAATCATATCTTTTTTTGTATAGTTTTATTTAATAATCCTAGGTTTTCTTACCTAAAGTTGATCTCTCCTTTTTCCATAATTAGCATAGATAACTCTCTTCTCCCTATAGTTCTGTTGTATATAATACTGCATTTTAATTTCATATCATAAAACTTTAGTTCTATTAACACTAAACTCAGAATTTCTGTATATCCTTATTCAAATAAAATGTTTTTATATGAGAAGTGCTCAATGATAAACTAATGGATTTTGCTCATATAATCCTACATATGTATAAATACCTCTTGCCAGCAACAAATTTGTAATACTTCATAGATAGTATGGTAAGTTTATTTTCCTACTGTTATAAAGTAGTTGGGAACACAAGAATATTAATGACGGAATGTATTTAAAATAAAAAAAGTCTTTTTTAAATGTTCAGTCTTTCTCTAAAATGTCTCCTTTATTGAATTTACAGGGAAATGGCTAGCATGCCAATCAATGGACAACCAAATCTTAATTTTTGGAGCACAGAACAGATTTAGATTAAATAAGAAGAAAATTTTTAAGGGCCATATGGTAGCAGGCTATGCTTGTCAGGTGGACTTTTCACCAGACATGAGGTAAGTTTAAATCTCCTCATGTACTCTCATATTTAAATAAGATATAAACTACTATTGTACAAATAGTAATACTTTACATATCACTTTCACATATGTAATTGTATGAGAACTATCCAGATTGTGAAAATGCCAAAGAAAAAGGCAATAACAAGTTATGAAAACTACCTTTTCTTGTTTTTTAAGTTCTTAGTACATCTCCTTATATTGCTTAGTCCTGTGCCCTTTCGCCACATACAAATCCCTGTCTATATAGGCAATGTCTTTTTCTCTCTGCTTTTCTAAGCAAGGCTTAGAGGACTATAATCACTATATTGATGTAACTGACTGAACCCCAGAGGAATTAATTCTGTATTGCATTGTTGAAGTTAACAACTTCACTACAGCTTTTCTTCTAGATCACACTAGATTTGTGAAACCTAGAGTCTTTCTAAGAGTAAAATTCTGCATTCATTCCCCCCATTCTTTGCTAAAGTATAAGTAATTCAAAATCCCTGTAACCTTGTATGTTTAACCTGGGTAATTGGGCCTTAGACTCCTACTTCTGAGTCGTCTTAGACATAGTCAAAAGTTGTTGGAGCCAAAATGTAATTATGGAGGTGGTAGAGTTTAGTCTAGTAGAAAGGGTCTAAATGTGTTTGCTGGCTCTGTGTGAAATTGGTTCCCCCGCACTGTTTCTGACTGTCTAGAGAGCTATTGTGATACCGCATTCAGTGTGGCCCCTGGGTCTCCCAGGCTTCCAAGTTAAAAATAACTTTCTCTCGTAGATTGGTGCTCAGTTGGGATGGTTTTTGGTAGAATTTTAAATTGTAGACTGCATCATGCTCTACTATGTTCTTCTCACTAAGTGTTATATATACACACTGATTTTTTCTCTGTTCCTTCTCTGCTTTACCAGTTTAAAGTGTTTGAATAATTTGAATTTTTCTTCCCATTGTAGCTATGTGATTTCAGGAGATGGAAATGGAAAATTAAATATCTGGGACTGGAAGACCACAAAACTCTACAGTCGATTTAAAGCTCATGAAAAAGTGTGTATAGGTGCTGTGTGGCATCCTCATGAAACATCTAAAGTCATAACATGTGGTTGGGATGGTCTCATTAAATTGTGGGATTAATGAGATGAATCCTTAAACTAGGATCATTTTGATCCAGTATCATATTTAACTATATTTAATTATTAAATGTGTTGGATGGCAACTTGATTTACAGATTATCACTTCCTTACATGGCCTTACAAAGTTGACACCTTGTTTTGGAAAAAAAAAACCAAAACTTTGTAAATTTGGCTCATATAACTTCATTGGCAACTTTATTTTGTTCTTTATAGATATTATTTATACAGAGAATGACCATTCACTTTCTATTTGACAAGTAGTTACTATTGGCAGGAAGTTTGGGCTTACCCCCATTACATACTGAAAAGGATTCCTTTGGAGTCGAGAAAGAATCCCTAGTGGATTTGGGGGTTCTAAAGGAGGTAGTATAATTAATAACAAATAACTCAGAAAGCTACCATGTACTTAGACCTCTTCAACAAAAAGAGAAGTAAGGAACAGGGATGATATAATTTAATGTGACTCTGAAAGAAGGATACCACCACCCACAATTACTATTTCCATTATTTCCAGTGGGTCAAGTTCTAATCTTCTGGATTTAGGAGGTCCACTATTTTTTTATGACACGTTATATATTTTTAGTTGTGAGCCAGCAATCTTTGACTGCAGCATTCCTCTAATTATTAAACAATGTAAAATACAAATCAGTCCAGAGTTCTTTCCTTGACTTTGTTCCTGATGAGTATAGTCAGGACTATTTATAATCAGAGAATTACGTTATTTTTGAAGATAGAACTCAAGACTGCACATTGTTTGTATTTACTGTCAGTAAGGACCTGACTACATTTTCTAAAGTCAGGGTCTCTTAGGTCATTGCTTCACAAATGTTACTACTGAAATACTCCTCATAGGAGATAGGATATCATAGTTCAAAGTATTAACTTGCAATTTCTTTGAAGTTGTAAGTTTTATATTAAATTATTCTTATTTGGCTTGTGAATATATTCAACAGAACTTATCAGAAAAATTTTAAACTTCTTTCCAAATCTTTGAGTAAAACTAACAGTCCAGGAAAATGGCTAGAGTTCCCCAGTTTGAGAAACAGTGACTGGTTGGTTAAAAAAACTTTTTTTTTAAACTTCAGATTGTGAAGTCAAGATAGCCTCTTGAATACAGTAGCTAATAGCACTTTAGTTTGATAAGCCATTTCTCCTGTTGATTACAAATCTGTATCAGATGTTTCAATGTGGTTTGAAATATTTCAGTACCATGCTACAAAGACTGGTTCATAGCTGCTGACTTGGAGCCCCAAATCATGTTGAGTGTTCATATCCTAAGGGCATTAGCTCTGAGTCCTATGCTATCGATAGCATTTCATGCTTCTTGTCCTTAAGAACACCCATTTTTAAAAATTAAATTAAAAAAATAAAAAGCCTGGTATAGATAACCAGGTGCTCTAGCCACATATAAAGAAATTTCAAAGGAGAAAATAGAAAAAAACAGAATATAAGTGGTAGAGCTATGTTTTTGAACACAGAGGCACTCAAAGAAATAAGAACACACTGCCTAGTTGCTGCCATTTCTGAATCTGCCAGAAAGGGTGGCTGCCGTTTCCTGAAGGGGAAAGAATTCAGGCAAGACCTTTTCTTTAGTCCCAACCACTGGGTTTAACAAATGTGACTTGATCACGTTTGGTTAATAATGGAAGGATTAATCATATATTTAAACTGTTTTGTTCAGCACCAGTATTTTGTATGCTACAAATCATAATTTCTAAATCTGAGTTTATGTTATTGCGTTTTTTGACTTTCTAAACTAAGCAACTGTATATAAAAGTCGTTTTTTTAAATCGTATTTTTAAATAAAGCATTTTTTTTGTAGAAAATGTCATCAAAATTTTCATTCTTAGTCTCCTTTTAAGTCTTAATTCTGTTGAGCCACCAGTTTAAACCATTTACAGATTTTAAATGGGCCATTTTGATTTTATGGAGAGAAATGATGCTTTAGAGGTGGGTATGGTATATTAATATGGTACTAATGGGCTTATTCTAATTAAATAATAAAATACAGAATATTGCCCTCAGAGCATACAGATTAAGTTTAACACATTCCATATTTTTCACTTAGTGGTGGCAGAGCCATGATTGTTCTCCTTTTAGAGTGCACAAGTGAGTGGGGTTCTTTTCCAGCATAAACAAGTCTCAAGATCATGTTGTTACTGAAGTTAAATGGTTACCACCTGACTCCTTTTCTTACTGCAACTTTTTTTGTCATACCCAAGACAGAATTCCTTCCTAAAAGTTAGGCTTTAGTGAAAGGTTTAATCCAATAAATATTTAAATATTGAAACACAAGCTGGGAATATTTTGCCTTAAAACGAGACAGTTTTAAGATAAGGAACAGGAAGTAGTATCAAACAGACACTTCTGTAGAAAAGTATAGAGTGATTCTTGAGGATGCATTGTGAGGCTGGTTGATGTCCCCAGCATGTCTGTAAATTACCTGAAAGAAAATATTGACAGTGAAATAGCAGTAATTACAGAGGCTGTCTTTGAAGAACAAAGTGTTACTCCCAGTGTGGACTGAGAACCATCTGCACCATAATCCCCTTGGAGATGGTGTCCTTACTGAGATAGAGAAATCTGAAGACAGTAGAGGTTACTTGGGGGAGCCATAATGGATTCTGATATGGGGAAGAGAAGTGTGAAGTGGCTTCCAAGTCAAGATATCCATCTGTAGTATAAAATTCGAGTCTCAAAGTGCAACCTATGGAACATTAATGTTAATATTTTATCAAAGATGTATATTTTTCGTATCTCTGAAATAGAGCTACATCTTTAAGTCAGTGCTGTGTCATAGTTTAATGGCAGCATTCCTTCTTAGATCATAAAATAATTGACTAAAAATAAACAAGGCAAGTACTAAGGGACCTAACGAGGAGGAGAGAAGATCCAATCAATGGAAAGAAGGTTCTTTCACAGCGGTTGGCTCAAAATTCATGTTACCAATTTTTACCTGATCAATGGGTAAATAAAATGAATGAACTAACAAAAGATTGCAATTTTAAAAACATATATTCATTCATTCACTGGGTCACAGTCAGCAGTTCTAGCAATGTCCCCAGATGGTAGGCACACTAAGGATGAGAATCAGTTTAGTAGCGTCTGAGTTTATCTTGAGTATTTTAGAAACTACACTTTTAGTACATGTAAACTCAGAAATTTAGCTAACCCAAAATATATACATGTGCATGTGTGTGTGTGTTTGTGTATGAGTATACATGTGTGTGCGCATATATGTATGTATATACATTTTATATACAGAGGGTGCCCAAAAAAGTATACATGTTTTAAGAAAGGAAAATATTAAAATTAGGCTGATGGTAACCACTTTGAGCACCTCTTGTAATTGCAGAAGTCAAACATGACTTGTATTGATCTTTTATTATCAGTATATATTGAGTATTACAATTTTAATACAGTTTTTCCTTAAAATGTGTATATATTTTTTGGCACCCTCTATTTATATGTATATCTTCCATATTCACAGTCATTTTAGTAAATTATACGAACAACATTCTCAACGTAAACACTTCAAAATATATTATCTGGAACCAAAGGGAAAAAAAGTCATGACTTGCAGCCAGAGTCCTTAGAATGGTTTTATTTTTAGTGACAGAGAAAGAGATAATTCTTACGCATATTCAGCTTCTTATATTTGCAATAGCTGTCTTCATATGAATTATTTAGCTCCCCCTCTCCACTCTCCAACCTTCAGCATTTGAGATATGAAGGACTAACTCTCAAGTCTCAAACATTTTTGGTTTAAGTACATGTTCTATAGTGCTGTCTAATAGAAATTTTATGTGAGCCATATGTGTAATTTTTAATTTTCTAAGGGCCACCAAATTTAATTTTCTAATAAACCAGGAGTTAGTCGTCTTAATATATTTTATATAACAATGTATCCAAAATATTTCAACATTCAATTATTTTTAAAATTAATATTTTTCTCATACTAAGTGTTTGAAATCTGGTCTATATTTTACACTTAACAGCACATTTCAATTTAGACACTACATTTTCATCAAATACTTTATCTGTTTCAAAGAATGTAACGTTTAATGCCCAAGTTGTTCCAAACATACCTAAGAGTTTTTTAATAATTGAATCAAGTAGACGTTTTTAAATTTAAAGTAATTAAAAGTAAATATAATTTAAAATTCAGTTTATCAATCACACTAACCACATTCTAAGTGCTCAATAGCAATATGTGACGAATAGCTGCCATATTGCATGTAAGTTCTAGTACGACTTGACACACACTGACTCAGATAGTCAACTTTACTGCTTCATCTTCTGAAAGGCATTCTAAGGTTCAAATATTTCATAAGATAGCTCATGCAAAGACTTAAATGATCATATTTTTCTGGGTAGTTTCTTCAGGTTTATCTTCCAGTTCACTTTACAGTCTTCAGATGTGTCTAATCTGTTTAATTCATTAAACTTATTCCAATGATTTTTTTGTTTATGGAAGGTTGATATGTGTTTTTAATATCGACCTGTTCTTCAAATGTCTTGTTTTCTTATGGTTAGTAGATAATCTAATATGCCTTTTAAACAATTTATATTACACTTTCTTTATGATTGCTATTCTGTTCTCTCACATTCTTGGGCTGAAAATCCCAGTGTTTATTGTATCTGTTCACTCTACCTCATTGTGGGCCATTTTCTTGTCAGTAGTAATTTTTTATTAGGAGTTCATCTTAAGTGGGTCTTTTTTTCTTTTCTTTTTTTTTTTTTTGAGGAAATCCTTTGTAGCCTGAGTTGAAGAGTCCCTTCAGAATGGTTTTACATTTGTTTCTGCCATGTACCCCTGAGGTATCACCCTCTAAGACCAGCTTTTTAATCTTAATTTCTCAGCTTATGATTTTCCTATGTGATTATTATAAATTCAAGTCCTTTAACAGGCCAGAGGTTTCAAATTCTCATGAGAAACTTATTTTTTCCCAGAGCTACAACAAGGATAGGCTTCCTTGTGCTGGGGGAGTAGATTTTTAGGGACCCTATTCCACGGAGGCTGTAGCCCTCTAAGGATCCCACTGCTGCAGGGATCCTTTACTCTCTAGGGCTTCAGGCCTCTGGCCATCACTGTCATACTGAATTCCTGGGACTATTGCATGGAGGTTCCTGTGTTAATTCTCTGGCTCTAGGCTCTCTCTGAGCTCTTTGTGTCTGAAGATTTTTCTTTCCTGGGCATATACATACATATGCACATACATGCATACATATGTGTACATATATACATACAGAAGGATCACCATAGATATATTAACTTAATCTAGTATCTCCAGATATTGCCACTTTGTTAGGACAGTCTAAAAACAGAAGTATCAACTAGTGCAGTCGGAAACATTCCGGTTTTTAGAACCATGGGGGTTTAAGTGTGTTATCCAAAAAGGTACTTTTCCCAAGAGCACTTCACTTAATGACTGGAGAGCCATCATAATGGGTTCATCTTTTATCTGAGCTTTTTTTTTTCTGAATAAGCACATCATTTGGGTTCTTTTGAATTTATCCTAAGACTTCCCTTAATAGTATACGAAACAAATTATGCTACCACTGTCTAAGCCTTCTCTAATCATGGGAATCTCAGAATAATGAAATTTTCAAGCTAGAAGAAAGTAACCTTAGAAATTTAATATTCCAACCTAAGTAAGGAAATATGCCAGGAAAGATGATGACTTGCTTGATATCATGCAGCAAGTTAGCAGCAGTATTAAAATCTTTCTCTTTTCATCCTACTGTCCTGCCTCCTCTACATAATGCCACTTGTGTATTTTTAAACTGTCAGGTTGATGTAATCTTTGTTGCTTCCAGCTTTCTCTGAGTTAGGTGGCTTAACAGAAACACTCACCTGTTTAGATCATGTTTATTTCATCCTTTAGTAAAACAACTATAGGGCCAGCCGAGTGGCTCAGTTGGTTAAGAGCTCGCTCAAGGGTTTGAGCTCTGAGCAACAGCGGTTCGATGCCCGGCCCAAGCTGAGCTGCCAACAGGTGGCAGGATGGCTCAGCTAAAAAAAAAAAGTTGAAGTAAAACAACTATAGCTAAAGACATTCTCATGGCCTCTTCCATTAGAGTTGGGCCCCATCACCTCATTAACTGTTCATGTGGACATTTCTTGGTCATACATTGGCCAAATAGTTTTGAGAACACAATAACTTTTCACCTTTTACTTTTGAACAACAAAATGTTTTAATAATTTTTGTAGAACTACCAACCTCCATCTTTGACAGAAATAGCCTCACATCATCATATCTTCCTTTTCTCATAAATATTCTTTAAAATATTCTCCATGCTGTGAATTGTGTCCTGACTCTAAAATGTTTGTTTTCTGGGAAATGGTACAAAGAAAGAACAATGAAGGATGAGAAGCAGAGATTGAGGTTTACTATCCTAGGATATCATCTAGTAAAAATTGAGCCTTCAATTATTGTATTTATTCAATTCAGTTATATAGTTCTCATGTCCCCAAGGTCAAGAAAGATCTCCAGGTTAGCAAAAACAACCGTACCAATAAACAACCATGTCAAGAAACGGATATAGAGAGAGCCAAGATGGCGAAGTAGATAAACGCTGTGCCTGTGTCCTTCTGTGAACACATTAAAATTACAACTAAATTATAGAAAAAAACCTGGAGAACCATCTGAAGTCTAGCCAAGCAATCCTACAATTAAAAATATAAAGAAGCCTTGTTGAGACTCATAGGAGGGGTGGAAACACAGAACGGGCCCCAAACTTCCCTGTGGCAGTTGAGAATCAGGAGAGATACCTCAGCCACAGAGGTTCCCCAAAGAGGAGCGAGGGACCCCAGCTCCCCACCAGGCTTCCCAGCCCAGAGTACTGATGCAAGGAAGAGGAACCCCCACAACATCTGGCTGTGAAAAGCTGGGGATTCTGACCATTCTGGTGGGGGTAGGAAGGCTGCAGAAAACACAGACGATTTCTTAAACGGTCGCACACACTCACTCGCAGGCACTCACCTTGGGCTCCAGCGGAGGGACAGTGATGGAGGTTCTTGAAGACATACCTGGGGCAGACTGAGGTGTGTGGCTACAGGGGAAAGACTGGAGGACAATTGGCATTTTCCTGGTGAGAAGTCCTCCTTCCTTGCAGCCGGCAGGCAGTCGCCATGTTTACTGTATTGAGCCCTCCCAAACAAGCCAAATCTGAATCTGATTAGCCTCATGAGCTTCGCTGCTGCTCCACCCTGCTGACTCAGCTGGGAACCTACCCACCCAACTTGTGCACTGCCAGAGGCACTTTCTCCTCCAGCAGCCATCCCCTCCCTCATTGCACTCAAAACTATCAGAGTCCATGGGCCCCAGGTGGGTGGCAGCTGGCCTCAGTGTGCTCTGAGACTTGCTGAGTCACTACACGCTCAGCACTGCCACCAAACCAGAATCTACATTAACCTGGTGACCAAAACTCTTCCCACTCTACTGACACCCTGAGATGCTACCTCACTCAACTCCCATACTGCATGAGGCTTTATCAGCACTAGGCTGAGCCTTAAGGGAGCTGGCAGGTGACAGCAGGTCTCTGGGTGTCCTGGCATTTTGCGGAGTTGCTCCAGGCCTGGTACTGGGGGCAACCATCCTCAGTTCGCAGTGTGGCCTCTCCCACATGCCTCCAGGTTTAGCACAGGCAGCAAACAACCAGGGATTGATTTGTAGCTCCAACCAGGTAGCCCCTGGTCAGTAACACGCATTGGCTGACCTGGGCCTGCACCAGAGCCCCTCCCAAGAGGCCCCAAAACCAACATACCTGTAGGTTGGCTTCAGACCATAGCAGAGCACCACCTAATTAGCCCCACAAGTGGCACACACAAAGGGTGGTCACAACAGGCACCAGAGCCTGCTGAGGCAAATCCCACTCAGTGGGGTAAGCCTCCCACACAGCAGCCCATAAGCTGTGGACATGGCAAACCCCACAGCCAATCAGCCTGACGGTTAATCCCACCCACTAATGTGCCAATAACAATCAAGGCTCAACTATAACAAGACAGTACACAAAACCTACCAGGGACACTCCTGAGCACCCAGCTCAGCTGACCAGGGAAACTGTTCCACTGGGCCTCACAGAATACCCACTACATAAGACCACCTATCCAAGACAGGGAGACATAGCACATCTACCTAATATATAGAAACAAACACAGAGAGGCAGCCAAAATGGGGAGACAAAGAAATGTATCTCAAATGAAAGAACAGGAGAAAATTCCAGAAAAAGAACTAAATGAAATGGCGGCTAGCAAACTACCACAGACAGTTCAAAACAATGTTTATAAGGATGCTCAAGGAACTTAGTGAAAACTTCAACAAAGAGACTGCAAGCATAAAAAAAGAACATAGAAACCATCAGAAGTGAAGAATACAATAACTGAAATGAGGAATGCACTAGAAGAAATCACCAGCAGACTACATGAAGCAGAGGATCGAATCAGCAATTAGCAGACCAGGTAGCAATCATCATAGGGGTACCAGAAGGAGAAGAGAGAAAGCAAGGGATTGAGAAACTATTTGAAGAAATAATGACTGAAAACTTTCCTAACCTGGCAAAGGAAATAGATATAAAAGTCCAGGAAGTGCAGAATCCCAAACAAGATGAACCTAAACAGGCCCAAACCAAAATACATTATAATTAGAATAGGAAAGGTTAAAGACAGAGAATTCTAAAAGCAGCAAGAGAAAGGCAAATAGTAACTTACAGGGGAGCTCCTATAAGATTGTGAGCTGATTTCTGAACAGAAAATTTTCAGGCTAGAAGAGATTAGATCAAAATATTCAACATGATGAAAAGCAAGGACCCAGCAAAGCTATCATTTAGAATTGAAGGACAGATAAAGAGCTTCCCAGACAAGAAAAAACTAAGAGTTCATCACCATCAAACAGGTATTACAAGGAATGTTAGAGGGACTTCTTTAACCCCCTGTTGGGTGCAACTGATCTCACAGATTCACTGCACACAAATTTTCAAATATCTAACAGTTAATTATTGTGACTCATCGCTTCCATATCTTCCCCCTCTATCATAACCTATCGCCAGTCATGTTTGTGACTTGGTACAGTAAAGATGTATTTCACAGCAGCATCTTTGTGTGCAGTGAATCTGTGAGATCAGTTGCGCCTGATGGAGAGTTAAGATAAAAAAAAGATCAAAATTATGAATAATAAAATGGCAATAGCTACTTATCTATCAATAATTGCTTTCAATGTAAATGGATTAAATGCTCCACTCCAAAGACATAGAAGGGTTGAGTGGGTAAGAAAACAAAACCCTTACATACACTGCCTACAAGAGAATCACTTCAGACTGAAACACACACAGAGACAGAAAGTAAAGGGATAGAAAAAGATAATAAAACTTCATGAAAATGGGAACAAAAAAAAATGGGATAGTGATTCTCATACCAACAAAATAAATTTTAAAACAAAGGCTATAACAAGAGACTGTGAAGGACCCAGTAATCCCACTTCAGGGTATTCATCTGAAGAAACCCAAATGCTTCTTTGAGGGGACATGTGCATCCATGAATTCATTGCAGCATTGTTTACAACAGCCAAGATGTGGAGGCAGTCTGGGTATCCATGGTTAGAAGAGTGGATAAAGACGAGGTGGTAAGTATATACAATGAAATATTGCTTGGACATAGAAGATTGGAATGGGTTCTTTCCATCTATGGTGGCATAGATGTACCTAGAGGGTATTGTGCTGAGTGGACTGTAAGAGAGAGAAAGACAGATGTGATGTGATTTCACTTATATGTGGATTCTGAATAACAAAATAAACAAACAAAATAGAAATAAATGCATACATACAGAAAACATATTGATGGTTGCCAATGAGAGAGGGGTTGGGAGTGAGTAAAAAGGGGGAAGGGATTCAAAAGTACTAATTGGTTGTTACACAGTAGTCATAGAGATGTAGGGTATAGCATGAGGAATACAGTCAATAATATTGTAATAACTATGTATGGTGTCAGATGGCTACTAGATTTGTTTGGGTGATAGATGGTAGGGGGTTGGGGGCAGGATGAAAAAGGGAAGGGATTAAGAAATACAAATTGGTAGTTACAAAATAGTCATTGGGATGTAAAGTAAAACATTGGGAATATAGCCAATGATATGGTAATAACTATGTATGGTGCCAGGTGGGTACTAGACTAGTCAGGGGGGATCACTTCTTAAATTATATAAATGTCCAACTACTATGCTGTACATCTGAAATTAATATAAAATAATATTGAATGTCAACTATAATTGATAAATTTAAAAAGTGGGGGAGGGGAAGAGGAATAAGAGGTCCAAATTTCCAGGTATAAAACAAACTAGTCATGGGGATGTAATGTACAGCATAGGGAATATAGTCAATAATATTGTGATAGCGTGAGAGTGTCAGATGGTTGCTGGACTTTTCATAGTGATCACTTCTTTAGGTATATAAATGTTGAATAACTATGGTATACCCCTGAAACTAATATAATATTGTATGTTAGCTGTATTTTTAATAAAAATCTTTTTAAAAAAAGAAAAGGATAAACTGTGTCTAAATTTAAGTTAACCAAAATGAGAGACCATGGTACGTCTAAATTCCAAAGGTATTTTTAATGCCAGAAAAAACTTCAATAGCAAAGGCTGATGAAATAATTTCACTGAAAAATCCAATGTGAAATACCTTTCTTTATTCATATTCAAGAAATATTTATTGAGCACCTTTTACCTAGCAGACACTAGGGCTTACCTCCATGGAGCTTACACAGTCTGCCGGGAAAGACCGCTGTTAGACAAGCAAATACATTAAAGTACAAAGATAGGGAAGAGACTAGAGGGCATCGAAGAGAAACAGTTAGGGGCCTTAAATGGTGTGTGTGGAAATGATGTTTGACCTAACATCCATCCTTGAGAAATAACATTGTCTTCTGCAGATAATTAATAGCTTGTTTTTATTAACATAATTGTGATTTCATTAATGTTACAGAACCCACTTGAACCTTGGCTCATCATACTGGGGGGTGCCAAAAAATATGTATACACATGACTTGTAGTCATCTTTTGTTATGGGTATATATTGAGTATTACAATTTTACTACAGTTTTTTTTTCCTTTCTTAAATGTGTATACATTTTTTTGGTACCTTGTGTATATACCCACCTGGGGGGTGATATCAAAATATCCCATGACCAGTAGTAACACAGGACCTACAGCAGTTAGAATAAAAGCTAACCACTGTGCTAGGGAAGGGTCCTGGAAGCTGCCTAGTGTGCTGTTTATTAATTGCTCGATCTTGGGAAGGTCTGGGTGTCCCGTGGGAGGGACTATGGCGGAGGAGAATGACTTGGGACCACAGTCATTTACCAACTCTATAGCTCACTGGTACATATTGATTGCATATCTGTCCTACGTATACTGAGCTACTCTATTGAAATAATCTAGATTAGAATTCAAATTTGACAGGAAAAAAAATCCCTTATTGTTTCAGACAATCTTATTGCACATAACCAATCACTAAGAAAAACAAAATATTTTATATGAGAATATGAAATTGCTAGTTTTACAAAGCATTGGTTTTAATGAGTGTTGAGAACTATCATTTTTCCATATAGTGCTAAACATAAAGTGTGACAACATTAAGCTTGCCTGATTTATTTTCCTTAAGGACAGAAATACAATAACATTATTTAAAATTTTTCAATGATTTCCAAATTTAGGCAGTTTAAGAATATACTGAATTTTTGGAATATGATTTCATGTGATAAGTAAAGTTCAAATACCTCTTTCAATGTAAGAAAAAGGATGACATTTTAGCATAAGGTTAAATGTATTCTTGAATTCACAAAGAATCAGCAATTGACTAGTACAAAAGAATTATGTTATTGCTTAAAAGGCAAACATAAATTTATCTCCAGAAGAAAATTATATTAATTGAGCTTGGAGATACTGTTGTATTATCAAGTATAATAATCTTTTTAAATGAGGCCTTCATTTTAATCTGGCAAAATATGATGAGGCTAGCTTCCTGGTGTAAATTCAAGCTTTGCAAAATCCAAAGATGTAATACTTAGGCCATGCAAATGTAGTGCTGTATTTACTATATACTGAACTCTTACAGCCAAGGCAGAAATGTTTACATGAATAGCTGATTTGGACTGAACACTGTAAATTCATGAATTTACTTTTGTTTTACTCCAATGTAAATATTAATGGACTTTCAGTCAATTCTAACAGAAGTTTGTTTACTTCTCCCTGGCTCTCTTCATTTGAACATGTCAAATAGTTGCAAATATTTGTATGATAACCAATTATAACTGCATCAAATATGATCACTCTAAAAAACGGAAAGGAAAAATTGTTTTTCTTTGACTTTAATCTCAAATTATGACACAGAGTTTGTACTAAAAGGTGACCTCTGAATCTCTTACACCCTCATGTTCTTCACCTAAAAAAAGTTTTTTTTATTATTTGATTACAGCATTATCAAAGTTGTATTTTCAGATTTATTTATGAACATTGCTCTGGTAACAGTTAATTAAGAGATGTTTGTCACAGATATTCACATCTGAGCTCATTTATTTAGGGTCAAAAACTAGTTTGAAGCAAAGAGAACTCATACTGCACTTCCAAGTGACTGCGCCCTTTCTAAAACCCAGGAGGAATGTGCCAAGTATTGGGATAAGCCAGGGCCAAGAGTTACTTTCAAAGCTTTGCAAGAGCTTTTCTGGCAACCCGAATATATTGACAGAGAAGTTATTGGGTCCCATATTTTTTCAGTAAGCTTCCATTTGGCAGGCATATTTTAATTAAGTAGATTGTCTAAATTTAACCTGCATGCTACAAAAATGATCCCAACTCTAACAGATTTGCAGGTCTGGTCTTAGTATATTTGTAGTTTTTTCTCCCATTTACTAACAGGGTGAAAAAAAATATGTCCTTTGGAAGTAGCACCTTCATTTGTTAAATGCTATTGAGGCAGCATTGTTCAGGGATCAGCAGGGGCTGTGGGATCTGGAATCCACGTAGGTGTGGATTCCTGCTCCACCATCTTGTAGCTGGATGATCTGAATAAACTAGTTAACCTCTCAGAGTTTCCTTACCTACATATGCAATCGGGAAAATTACAGCTCCTCATAAGTTGTTGGGAGAATTAGGAATAATGTATGCATTATTCTGCTGAGCACATAGTAATAGCTACAATAAATACTAGCTCTTCATTTTGTTTGGATTTTGTTTATATGGCTTTTGTAGTAGTTTTGATGATGATGATGATGGTTGTTTTGCCAGCTCTTCACCAGCAGGATCTCCCCAAACACCAGTGCTGTGGTAACCTCGACCCTTTCTCATGGCCTACCCCAGGAGTTCTCCACAGTGGGAGATTCTGCCCCCAAGGGGACATTTAACATGGTCTGGAGACAAATCTGGTTGTCGCAACTGAGGCAGGAGTGGGGAAGGTTCTCCCAGTGGGAAGGGCCAGGAATGCTGCTACACATCCTAGAATGTACAGAACAGCCCGCCCTCCCCCAACAAAGAATTATCCAGCCTGAAATGGCAGGAGTGCTGAGGTTAAGAAACCCTGGCCAATACAATAAGCATAATAAATTCTAGAGGCAGGGAAACCATAGCAACAGGCAAAAAATGCATCATAAATTTCAAACTCTCCATGAAGGGAATGAAGGACAGTCTTAGATATAAGCATAAAATAAGTGCAAATAACTATTGAACAGGCTGCCTAGTAGGTGGATGTGGGTGGTGTGTTTGTGGTTTATTCTGAGTTTGTCTTGTCTTTTTTCTTAACAGTACACCCATTCTTGCTTCAGATATAGTGCAACGAAGTCAGTGTTCTGTACCACCAATCTGAAATAAATGCCCTGTACAAAGAGGGCTTTTAGTAACACCATAAATCTTCAATCCCATGAACTGAGAATCTTGATATTGGGTGTGTACACACCTAAAACCTGATCAGACTGGACACTTAAGATCAGTGCACTTCATACTTTAGTGTGTAAGAAGGTTTAAAATTAAAAGGTTTAATGTATAAAAAGGTTTACTGTATATACTTCACTGTATAAAACATTTATTAAAAAATAAAAGAGAAAGAATCTGTGATATAATCCAAACAGGAACTGGATGGAAGTTACCTTGTTTTGAAGGCTATGCAAACTAACAATATGACTTCAGAGTTTTTATGGGCCCCTTTGAAATACCTATGGACATTAAAAGCAACCAAACTGCTATTCCAAATTACACTTATTCAAGCTGGTCCTCCCACCACAATGACTTTTATTAGTGGACGCTGTGTTTTAAAATAAAAACCTCATTTGTATTTTTTAAAATCACTACTAATTTAGAAAGTCTTGTTTCTTTTGAACCCAAGTTAGTGAGATCATCTAACTCTAATATATTTTGGTTTCTCACTTGAAGACTGATATTTTCAAACCATTGCAAGAAACAAAAGCCAACCCAGGGAATGTCTGGGGTGGAAATACATAAAAAATGGGGAAAAGGAATACAGCTTAGTGTAATCAGTATTCTATTCCCTCCCCAAAATTCTTGAACAAACATGTATGCATGTTTTCCTGCTCTCTCAAGGTTTAAAAAGTATAAGAAAATATTCTTAATTTATAATAAGGTAATAATTTGGTTTATTGTTATACTATTTAATTTATTTAAAATAAGATTTTTGAAAATCATTTGTAGGGGTGAATGTCTAATCTTATAAATAGAAATGATAGAGATCATTTGAACTATTGAGAACTGCATTTTCTGCTTAATTTTTTGACGTGGAAAAAGGATAAGTACTACTGAAACGTGTGTAACTATCCCAGGAAGGAGAGAAACTCTGGCCCTCAAGCCACAGGCTTATAACAAATGCCAACTGGCAGTAAAGAAAAACTCAATCTTTGAGATAATGTATTTTTTAAAAAAAGATTTGACAACATCGGCAAGTCTGTGGTTGAGAAATCAGGTTTGAAGTCAGAAGAGGCAACAGTAAAGACCCCAAAATTCTGTTTTGTGCTTCGTTTCCTAGGAAAGGAAGGAGATTTAAGGCTGTGTATGAACAGCACGCTTAGCCGCAGTTCTTGATAGTCTAGTCTTTAAATTCAGTGACAGAATTTGATGTGTCTGAGTTCCCAGATACTAGAATCGGCGGTTCTTGTAAAACTATGGGCAGGGCCTCAGCAAAGGTTGAGAAGGCATGATTGAAATCTGCAAAACGTAAAGCACGTCATTGACAAGGTGAACAGGAAAACCGTACAAGAGGTGAGTCCCAGTCAAATGAAAGGTGGTATTTTGAACAGTAGGCTACAAAAACAAGAATCTCAGTAAAAATGGAAAATTTATGTAATTACTTTTCCATGTTGGTGAATTCATAGACTATAGATACATAATAAGTTTTAGGGAAAACTGAGGTAAGTGGGGGATGATGGTCCAGGTTAACGTGAAGGAGGACAACCAGACAACCATCCCCACTCTGTCAGAGGCTAAGAGGCAAAAAGCCTGGGTCTAGGCAGACAGAGGCTGACCCCTGCAGCACGCTGTGTCCACCCCTTCAACAAACGGTAACTGTGCCCCTACCGCGTGCCAGGCATCAGGCTCCAGGCACTACAAAGACAATAACAATTTCCGCCTCAAGTAGGTAACAGGCTAGTGGGAGACTGGACAAGGAAACCCATAATTCAAATCATGGACACACTCCATTCTGCAAGTATGTCCTTGAGTTCTTGATGAGGTCCTGCAACCTATTTCCATCTTGTATTCACCCAGCTCAGAGTATAACAGCTACTTGCATTGAAAATGTCTTTCTTCAGGAACAGCTGAGGTTTAGATAAATCTTTGTAACTGTGAAAAAGCCTGAAATCCTTTAGTTCTAACTCTTTGAGGAGGCTATACCAGAACCGCACAACACTGCTGTCGCTGCCACTGACCTCAAACCCTGGCCAGTGGAGATGGATCTCAAAGATGAGCTGTCCAATCTGTGCAAGGACATCTTCCAGAATAAGATTTTCCAAAACTTTCCATTCTGCACTTTCCAGATCTGCTTTGAGAACATCAATCTGTAACAAAATGATGAAAGGAGATTAGCAGATTCAATAAACATTGTTAAAAATGCCATATTGCTATCAGGGGCATCACTGTATAACTATCTCCTAAGAAAGCAGAATTTTTCAAATTTTAGATTTAGAGGTCTTTTTTAAATAGCCACTTAGGAATTTCTAACCTCATTCCACACCAAATATTAATATACAAATAATGAAATGCCAGTCAGAAATCATAATGGACCCTCTTACTTTCTGCACAATGGGAACAGATATCTGAGAAGGAGAGGCTGGAGCGTGTGTATCTCGGAGCTCTGTGCCCACAGCCTCTCCCTGCAACCTATACACTGTTCAGAGGAACCCAGCCATGCCCTGACAAGAACGGCGGCCTGCAGGGAGACTGCAGAGGGCCACTGCCTGCAGGGACCACCTCACAAACCTTACCTCCCTCCCATCAGGACTGGATGTCAGGGAAAGAGCTCTCAGGTATCTGAATATTAGACTTGTAAAAAACTTATTATTCCATGATTTCTTTAAAAAGTACATACCAGTCCAGCATTCTTAAAACAAACAAACAAAAAACCCAAAAATACCATTCTCTGTTCATTTAACGAATACAAGTCACATTCCAGGTAAGATGGACTATAGGCAGAAGAGTAGGATGGGAGAGATTTTGCAATAAAAGTTATGAGACTCAGCTCCTTTTTGCTGGCTTGGCGCAAAATCCATTAGAATAATAAAACGCCAACTATGCCCAAAAAGTAATCAAAGCTAATTATTTACCAAGTGCTTATATGTACCTGGCACTTGCAATATCCATTTATTTCTCTCAACAATTCTCTTAGTTTCCCCATTTAGAGTTTAGGAAACCAGACTCAGAGTAACCCGTCCCCAGACACAAAGCTGCAGGGGCAGTGGTGACATGTTGAACTGAGTCTGTCTACATGGCCCATGTTCTTAACCACTACCAATGTTGACTCCCCATAAACCACAAAAGTTAAAAACAGTAAACTCAAGAGTCCCTGGGCTTTCAGTTTGGAAAATAAGGTGCTACTGCAGAGGGAATAAGGGTCAGTGAGTAGAAGTATCCTTATCAACATCACCATTTTACATTTTGCAGAGCACTTTCCTGCTCAAAGAATTACCTTCTTCATGCATAATCTCAGTAAAACAGCCCTATCGGCAGACAAAGATTTATTTGGTAAAGATGACTTTCTGCTGCCAAAAAATGGAAGGAATGTGGAAGGGGATAATTAGACCACACAGAGTAAAGCTGACAGCATTCAGACACAAACCAGAATAATGAAGATGGAGAGAATCACTGCAATAGAGCAAAGGCTATTGTCCCAAAAGGTGACAGCACAACCCTAAACAGCTCTTCAGGAAGCTGCCAACTGAAATCACCAGCATCCCGCCCATGAAAGTGATGTATCTTTGCCTGTTTAGAACGATGAACAAGGACCAAGACCAACCCTGCCCCAGCATCTCTTCTCTCTCAGCGCAGGTCTGTTTGTAAGTTTCTCAGGTGCTGCTGAGATATGAGGTTCCCAGTAGAATGGTAACATTTCCTGTGTGATTTTAGAGCTGGGTGGAGGAGAAGAAGCATAGAATGCAGACATAATTGCTTCAAGCAAATGGTCTTTGCCCAGCATCCTGAGACCCTGCCGGAGATGCTTCCACTGTCTTGCCTTGGATAGTACTTCCTGGTCCACCAGGGACAGAGTGATGATGGTAACAACCCCAAGAATACGAAGAGGCCTTAGAAAAGGCTAGATGTCTATAAACTAGCTGGTTGGTTCGACAGTTCCAAAATCAAAGAGAAAGAGTTAAAAAAATAAAAAAAATAAAAACCAACTTTCTTTTCTGAAAGGACTGAGCAAGGGCAGGTTCCCCATGAACACACACAAGGCTAAAATAATTCTTGTGACTTGGACACAATAGAGTTAATTCACTCTTTTTTCATCTCTGCTTCCCTGGCACTTCCTAGGCTTTGTTTAATCTTTGAAGTTTTAAACAGAATATTTCTGAATTAGGGTAATTAAGCTGCTAAAAGAAAAATTTAATCAAAACTACAAAATTTTCTAGTTGGTACAGAAAATATACAAAACTGGAAATCAACATTTGTCATGTCAATTCACATAGACAAGGATTCTTAGGTTCCTTATAGATGTATTTTTTCCCCATGGTCTTCTGTGAGTTTGCATATGTTGAACACGATCAATAAATCAAAGCATCAAAGGGACAGGGCAATGTTAATCAGCCTAAAATTGATCTAAAAACTATAACAGTGAAATATGGAGGAATATACTTTACATATTTTTTCAAACATTTTTTTTAAATAAGCTATTAATCATAAGTTATGAGCAACTGGAAAAATAACCAAATTATTAGGCTACATCATTGCAAAAACTGTTTTCTTTGGAAATTCAATTTTCATTTACAAAATGCTAACCCATTCTAAAGAGCAAAAAGTAAATTCAAGCTTGACCACACACCCACCCTCTTTTGACTCCAGTGACTGAAAACTCTCTACGCCAATCAGAATTCACAGGTTGATCTAACTCATGAAGCCCAGGTGTGGTGTGGCACTCAGCGGCACATAAGTTCTTCCCTGCCTTCTGGCCTGAGAGCACAAACAGCCAAAGTGCTATGACTAAAACACAGTTTTCTCTTCCAGTATGCCTTTTCTACTTCTTGCATTTCAGAATGTTCTATTTTGCAAATGTAATTTCCATTGTTACTGCATAATGCACTCAATATTATTCTTACTATAAAGCACTAAACATCTCTGAATAAGGTATGCCAACTTTAAGGTTCTAATATCAGCTTTCAACAATTATGGTACTAAAAAGCATGCAGATGGTCATATAAGAATCACCAAGTGCCAATCCTAATACAGTTAAACTAATTTGGGTTTCTAGAAAAAAACAACAACAACTAAGTGTTAATTCTCTGTAAACTCTGAAATAACTGAAGATATATTCTTGGGTGGAAGGGTCTCAAAAGGTGGATGCAACAACCTAGCTGGTGCAATTTCAGAGTGCTCTTCCTATCAAAAATTATCTCCTTTTCTTTGTGCCTGAAATATACAATAAGTCACGTTTTGTAGAAATTTTTGAGGGGAAGAAAATTTTAACTGGACTAAGATGTGAGGCCATCTAGCAGCTTCCTCACCATGGGCACAAATTTATTCCTGTGTTCACCCACCCAGAGCTGCAGCCAAGAGAGGAAAAGGGGGAAGTGGCCTCAACGTTTATACTAGTTTGCTAGGACTGCTGTAACAAAGAACCACAAACTGTGTTTTCAATAACAGAAATGTATTGTCTCACAGTTCTGGAGATCAGACATCCGAAATCAGGTGTCTGACAGTGTGGGTTCCTTCTGAGGGCTACCAGGGACCGTCTGGGTCATGCCTCTCTCCTAGCTCTCAGTGGTTTGCCGGCAATCTTTGGTATTCCTTGGCTTCTGCATCACTCTGATTTCTGTTTTCATCTTCACGTTGTGTTATCCTTGTGCTGTATCCAAATTTCCCCTCTTTATAAGAACACCAGTCATATTGGATTAGGGGCCCACCCTACACCAATATGACCTCATTGGCAATGATCCTATTTTCAATTAAGGTCACATTCTGAGGTACTAGGAGTTAGGACTTCAACATACGAATTATGGCGGGGGACACAATGCAACCCACACAGCATTTGAGGTAGCTATCACTATGGAGCTTTGGCAAGGCAGTGTGTGTTGTAGAGCTAATTTCCCAAGCCAATGCCTAGGCTAGGCAAAGTGTCCTGTACCAGAGATCCAAGGGCCGGAACCATCTGAGGCGATGATGGATGTCGTCCTGCCAGTCCTTACATCAGCCAACACTGATAGCTCCAACCTCATCAAGTGTCAAACCCAGGGCAGGTCAACAAGCCTCCAGGGCCATTTAAAACCACCCTCATGAAACCCCTGTGCTTCACTCCCTGGTTCCTTCTTGGCCACACTACCAGGCCTGGCGGGTGCAGTTTGTCTTTGGCACCCTCCCATTCCCTGGCCATATCTTTCTCCCACCTTCTAAAACTCCTTCAGGCACTCCACATCCTCATGCCTGCAGCTCCCCGCTTTCCCCAGCCTTTTCCCCTTCAAGGGGGCTCTAGAGCAGGACAGGAAGATTTCATTACATGCCGACTGGCTCTCAGGAGGACAAAAATGGAAGCTGCAACACTTTCAAGGCCTGGGTCTAGGACTCACCAGCATCACTTCCTGGTCAAAGCACATCACAACACCAGCCCAGATTCAAGGGGAGGTGGAATCAATCACAACCCTTGAGGGGAGGAGTGACATATACAGAAAGGATGAGACAAATTGTTCATGGCCATGTTCACAAACAATCGACCCTAGGGATTCAAAGCAATAATACTTTATATACAAATCCATGAATGAACTTCAGTATTACAGTAGCCATGAACATTTACTGGATATAAGCAACACTAGCAAAAAGAATAAAAAAAGCCTTTATTCATCTAAATATTATTAATAAAGGGACATTAGTTAAAACATGGCATTTGCTGTTAGGTCTGGCTTTCCTTTCAAGTTGACAGAGAAACTAGGATGTCCAAAGGATTAAGGATGGGTAACAACAAATAAAAGGACATTTGTCCTGAAATATTTGTCCTGAAAAGGACAAATAAAGAAAATATGTATAAGTCTTAGATATGGTATTAGTTTCCTAGGGCTGCTATAACAGAATGCCACAGGCTTTAACAACAGAAATTCATTTTCTCCCAGTTCTGGAGGCTGGAAGTCCAAGATCAAGGTGTCAGCAGGTTGGTTTCTCCTGAGGTCTCTCTCCTTGGCTCACTGATGGCTGCTTCCTCCCTGTGTCCTCACACAGCTGTTCCCCTAGGTGTGAGCACTCCTGGTGTCTATTCCTTTCCTTATAAGGACACCAGTCCTACGGGAATAGGGCCCCACCCTTATGACCTCATTTAACCTTAATTACCTCCTTAAAAGTCCTGTCTCCAAATACAGTCACC